CTGCCATTTATGTTTTTACGGCTTCGCAATTTCCTGTTTGGGAAAGTGAAAAAGGCAGATTTAGACATTGGCGATCCAGTAAATCTGTCTATATTGAACTCATTTTTTCTTAGGGATCAGATCTCTGAAAAAAAAAACAGGTTGAGAAAGCAACTATATAATAAGATATATATATATATATATATATATATATATATATAAAATATATATATATATATATATATATATATATATATATATATATATATATATATATATATATATATATATATTACAGGCAGTCTTGTTTCATAATTCCCAGATTGTTCTTACTTTTGACATAACTTAGTTTTCTTAGTCTTTTATTGTTGTATGTTGGTGTGTACTAAGAGAAATGAATACTATTTGTGTGTAAAAATGTTTTCAACATTAGATCTCTGAATTTTTTTATTTTTTGTTTTTCTACAATTGAGTAGCTTTGCTTCTGCTCCTACTTGCCCTAAGATACATCATGTGTCTCAGGACATGTTGGATTCTGTGTAACGTGTTTATTGCTTTACACTTTCCCTGAAACTCGTGGCTTCATGTGCTGTTTCACATGTGTTTTCTCTGTGGGGTTTGTTAAATTATTACACTCCAGAGCTGTCAATATGATGGACAATTTCTTTCTGGCAAAAATTTACACTGCGTCAGCAGACTGGCAGAAGGCTTGTTTCTTTAAAGCCTCTTTTGCATGCAAGTCCTATAGCAGTTTTGTTGGATAGTTAAGACTTATTATGTTACTTTTACTCATACTTTATCTTACATTTGCTGAATAAATTTAAAATTGAATGTTATTATAAATCCCAAACAATGTTCCAAGAAACAAGCATATTCCAAGAGCCAATTGGTAAAAAATTGAGGTATGCTGTTTGACTTTTAAAACAGAGAATATACTTGTAAAACTTTTTAGATTCGTTTTGTTACTTAAACCGGTAAAAAAAAATGGTTAGAGTAGCAATGATCTTCTAGTGTCTACTAGGAAAGTTCTTAGAATTTAAATAATTTTCTTAGAATTTTACCCAAGTATGTTATTCTATACAAAATCTTAAGAGTATTGATTGGAACTTTTAGTGAGCAAAAGAAAAAGCTAATTAATTTAGCTGTGCCAACATTCCTGTTAAATTTTGCATTCTGTACTTTTTATGTTGGCTGTTGTTTCAGCCCATCAAACAACTTCACACAAGCAGGAAATCATAGTGATTTGCTGATATGAGTGTCCACATTAAATATCAAATAGATGATGTGGTAAAATGACACAATAACGATGAGAATGTAATCGGTTAATCTTTACTACTGGAGGTGTATTTGTTTTTTGTGACTATGGCCCCCAACGATTTCTAATCGAACACCTTCATTGACAAACAGAATTGAAGCTTCAAGAACAACTTTGCTGTAACATGTTACAGCAAAATTGGTGTTTGCTGAAGTCTGACCCGTCTCAGAGGTAGCAGCCTGAATAAGCATTACGAATCTTTGCAGAAAAGACTTTGTTATAGTTTTTGTACTTCCTAAAACTCCACTTTTAAGCACCTTAATTATTCTAAAAATAACTGGACCTGTCTTCCTCCATGCTTGATGATGACATCAACACAGTCTGTGAGGGCTTAGATGTGGTGTGTTCACTGATCAAAGAAAAGCTCAGACTTTTCATTTCTCAACAGATGATCACAGATCAAACTCTGCCAAGTGTTAGAATCATCTGATTCTGGTCACCAGATGTTTTCTCAGCGTCTCCTCTTGCTGGAACCTGTTTTGATCTATGGGTTAAATGGGATGCGATGTTCTTATGATTTGCTTTCCTTGCTGCTGATGTTGTGCCTGCTGCCCAGTAAATATTCGACTAATTGAAATCACTTCAAGCCTGAATGTAGGAGGAGGTGAAACTCAGTTTGCCGCTGGAAAGTTGCCTGAACTCATTAGATGTTCCTTTTGTGTTTAGGTGTGCATGTGCTTTGTAGATGAATGCTTTATATGCAGAGATTACAAATAAATACTTCCAAATGTCTTAGTGATAGTTGAGGCTGCTGATTTCGAGTGTTTATCTCGTTTCCTCTTGTGTCAACAACTAGCTCCACAACCAGATTAAGAAAACAGGATGTAATGGAGGACTTGATTTTGTTTAGTTTGCTGTAATCACTTTCTTTTGTTGTTGTTTTTTCAGACATTCTTTCATGTTGAATTAATTTGCCTGACCATCAGCACCTATGGAGTTGTAAGAAAAAGCATATATTGAAAAAAATGTATCCAGAAGTCTGCATAAATTTGCTAACAGCCATCTAGGGCAGTGAGTTTAAACCTTTTGTCCTTGTGAACCGTTCCATGTCTGGAATATTTAACTCAAAATTCATATTTATTACCGATGTGAAGGCAGCAGTAACAACCAACACACTGGCTTACCAGACCCTGCTCCTTAAAAGCTGGAGGGGCACAAACAGAAGCGCCCAGGCACTTTCTGAATAAAATGTCTCTTAGTCTGATTGACAGAGCTGTAGATGTTATTGAACATATTTATTTTGCCTGATGATAAAGGATGCATCTATGGGGTCAACAGGTGATCACCTCTGAAATGTGTTGAAGAACTTGCTCCAGTTTGATAAGACCAAAACCTAACTTTTTAACCTGCATGTTGCAAACTCCAGTGATTTTTCTTTTAGAATTAAATCCTGTTTGTGTGGCTAGTTTTAGTTCTATGTCTGAGGTTTCCCCTTACTACTGAGCATTTGACAAATGCTGAAAGAACTTCACATTTGCAAATATGCGTAGTTGTTTGGTGTGGTGTTATTGGGAAAGCTCATAATGATCCCTATAACCAAAGAATGTAGACAAACACACTATAAAAATCAAACTTCAATTGTCTTCATATGTCAGAGTCAGGATTTATTACCTAGGGAGAGTTTTAAACAGATTTATTTCAGCTCATGCTGTTTCGAGGTCATGGGTTTTTACCGGGTTTTCCGCACTGGCGGTGCTGAAAAGAGTGGCTGTGGTTTGAGGCATCAAGCCAAAACAGTCTAAAGAATCATTACGACAGCCATGGGAACCTCTCCCTAAAGGAAGAGGTGTCAATTTTTCCATCTCTGAAAAGTTTAACTTCAAATCCAAGTTCTGTTCTTAGCAGCCAGGTTAATTTCCCTACTGGTTTTTAAAAATGTCTTTGATCACCACAAAAGCTCCTCAAAGCTTCACAGCAGTGTCAGTAGTTGAATTATTGGGAGCAAATGCAATTTTCTCCTTTTTCTTTATTACACAACATGAGTGTTTTTTAAGAATAAATAATGCATGTTATAAAACTGAAATGCCAACAGAATCCTTGCTTTTTATGTTGCCTATAAATTAATCTCGTAAATTCAACTTTGAAAAGATGATTAGAGGATAAGGAAAATGGCAAACCATCTTAGCAGTACGTCAAACGTAGCACTCAACCAACATCTTGCAGGCTGTTTTTAAAACTGCATCCTTCCTCAACAGTCAGGGATTCTCTGTAATTGCCCCATTTTCAACAAGGGAACCCTTGTTTTCCAGTGTTTCAATCTGCTTGCATGTGCAGAACCGCTCTGTGTGCGTCTGCTGTTTTTTGCAAACGATCATCAGTCTCGTTCTTTAGCGCAGCTGCAGCTGCTGCAGTCACCTAGTTTGACTCGGGAGACATCTTAACTGCCCATCAGCCAATAAAACATCTGAGAAACAAAAGCGACTATAAACAGTAGCATATGTAAAATAGAGATGTTATTGCTGTGAGGCAGTACTGCAGTTTTATACGGTAGAGGAAGACCACCATCAGAACTGCACAGTCATTTACTTTTTAGCTTTACTGCCTCATAGCAAACCAGTCTTGAGTTTAAACCTGAGCTGAGGTCTGTCACTGAGGTGTTTTGCACACTTTCCTGCTGCATCAGTAGGGTCACACAGATTAATCCCACACTCCAGTTTTGGATTTAAAAAGCTACTCCAAATTAGGCGTTGAGTTTAAGTGTGTCCTTGCATTGGTTTCTGTACATGAAAGTGAGGATTGTGTAGACCAAAGTTCTCCTTGTCCAGTCCTTGAGAACTGCTGTCCCGCAGCTTTTAGATGCATCTGTGCAGTGCAGTAGTGCATATTGGTGTGTTCAGTTACTACCAAATTTCTTGGAGCCGATGTTTGTCTGAATTTTATTCTTCATGTCATCGATTTCCTTGGATTTCTTTGCACTGTGAAAATAGTTTCTAGAGCAAATATTTTAGTACATATTACATAAGACAAAATTGACGTAGAAGTAGCTTTTTAGCAAGATACAGAAGCTTGTGTTAAATCCACAATTCCTTAATATTGATGAAAAGTGTTTGTTCTACTGGCACATTGTTTCACTTATAACAAGAACTTTTTTTCATTAATTATTGACTTATAAGAAGCTCCTATGTCTTGCTGAAAAGGTATTTGTAAGTTAGTTTTGTCTTAATTCAAGCTAAGACTACCAAGAGTTTGGGAAGAGTTTGTCTTTTTTCAGTGTACTGAAAACATCTAACTTTAAATCTTCTTCACTCAATAAAAAACAAACACGCCGCAGTTTTACTGAAGTTCATATATACAGTGTGCTACTTAAAGTAGGTGTACTTTAGAGTATCACAAAGTATTTTTGTCTTTTGAAACAATATCAGTACACAGTGGAGTTATAGTAGTGGTTTTTACAGTAACCTGTCACTACATAATTACTTGGCTTTTTAAAAAAGTAAAAATGTCTTAAAACCTTCTACATATTTTTGATATTAGTATTATTACTTTCTTTATAGTTCCCTCTACCTTTTTCTTGCTTAATAAAATCTTTTTTATTCCATAACGTTTTCCCGGTCAGCAGTTCAAACTTTGACATTTTAATATGGACATTCACGAGCACTTGGCAAAACCAATAGTTGGCTTGGGAACAATGTAAAACGATAAAAATACTCCAACACATCTTGAGGCTATTGTTCCATTAATCCCATTGATTTGTGTTTTCTTGCAGAGATTGGACCTGTAACAATCACAACAGACCCAAAGAAGTTCCAGCATGAGCTTAGAGAGTTGTACGTTCAGGTGGGTTCAGACACTTGCATTATCCAAGGAAACAGCAGCTGTAGCCTGGATGCTCAGGTCACCTGGACTTCATAAAAAGAATACAGAAAATTGCAGTCATCATACCAGACGTCTGGGTTGGAAGATCTGTGAGCTGTTGCAGAACTTAGTTATTTTCCACTGGAAGCCAAAAACAAGGCTTGAAAGAAAGTGTAAGCCTGACAAGTCGGTAATTGCATACCAGAGTATTGTTAAGCTTGGCATTAAAAAGGAACTCCAGCTGGAAGACAAATAAATGCCTAAACAACAGAATTCAACAGCTGGACATAAATCAATCAATGCCAAAATGTGCTTGTTTGACAAGTATTCTGGATAAATTAAAGGAAGTATAAAAGCTTCAAATTAAATATGTTAAACAAAGGCAGGCAGATAAACCCTGAATAGCCTTTGATGAAAGACTTTGACAAGGAACTTGCATATTTAGCATGACTTGTGTTCAAACTTATGTCTGAATAGATCGAGTGCAGCATGAAAACAATCCCTTTTTCTGTCACAGCTTTATTCTTCAGTCTGTAATTCATGCACTCCCCTCTTAACATTCACACTCCTTCCTTTTGCTTGAGAATGTTGCAAGAAGGGTTTTTGTTTCAGACAAAAGACAGAACTGTATGTAAAAGTAACAATGCGGCCTTTCTATAAGGATTAATGGTAAGCAAATGATGAGGTACACCAAAAAGAGAAAGTTGTCAAATGGAAGAAAATGGAGTTCACTTGTCTCAGGCTGAAGGTGTATCATAGTTTGGCTGTTTGCAACATTTGCATTTCTATTTGTTTTGGTTCTGATAGCCTTGCACCATTTGACATAAATAACAGAAGAAACCTTACTTTGGTAGGCAGTATTTCTTTTAGTTTTCTAGAACAGACTGAGGAAGTTATAAGACATGGGAGAAATTTGTTTTGGAAGAAGGGATATACAAACAGAGCATAACAATGCTTCAAACAAAATACATGAAAACCAACAGAAAACATTAAGCAGACATACATCAAGCTTTGTATAAGTAAGAAGCACAACGACGCACAATATTGATGTACAAGGAAAGTACATACTGATTTCAAATGGGAAATAAATCCCCACAAGCACACAATACATCTCTACATACATTTTTAACCTTTCATACAATTGATGATCTCTCTTCACATCTATGCAATACTTATGCTGGCCTGTCACATAAAAGTTAAAGTTTGTAGTCGTGATTCAACAAATTAAGAACAACATCAAGGAGTGTGAAAACTCTTACGAGTCGCTGCAGATGAACAGTGCTGACAGATCAAACTGTTTTTTTCTCTTACAGGGAGGTGGCGACTGCCCAGAGATGAGCATCGGTGCTATAAAGATTGCTTTGGAGATCTCTTTGCCAGGATCTTTTATTTATGTTTTCACAGATGCCCGTTCTAAAGATTACAAACTGACTCATGAAGTCCTGCAGCTCATTCAACAGAAACAGTCACAGGTTTGGAGATAATTTAATGAAACAGAAATTTCTTTAAGTTCAGAATCAAAGAAACTTTATTTTAATTGTTCCAACATTTTTATTCCAGGTAGTGTTTGTGCTGACGGGTGATTGTGATGATAGGAATCATATTGGTTACAAGGTGTATGAGGAGATTGCCTCTACAAGTTCTGGGCAAGTTTTCCACCTAGATAAGAAACAGGTCAATGAGGTAAGAGGATAATTACTGCATGGCCCTGCACTGCTACTAACCTGCATATTAACTGTGAGTGAATCATTTGATTTTAGACCTGATTTAACCACAACAAAGTGTTTTTTTCATTTAAGTTTTGGAAATTAAGTGACTTCAGGCGGTTTTTACAACCCATGTCCCGGTAGGGACTCCACATCTAATGTGCATGGGAAAAAATTTACTGATTGATGCATACCATTGCTCTTTTCAGCCTGTCCAAAATGTAAATCAACAGTCTTGGATTGTGAAAAGAGCCAGTGCATGAAATTTAAATGTTCTGCAGTTTTATTACTTTTGGAGAGGAATTTATACAAAGGAAGTAAGGCCTTTAGTTCCACAGAGAACATTCAGACCATTTACTCTCAATAGTAAAAAAAAAAAAAAAAAACTTTTTTTGTGAATCTTTATTTGTAAAGTGCCTAGAGATCAGCTTTGATCTTAATTTGAGATATGTATATAACATAGGAACTAATTATTATTTCAAAAACTCCTTGTGTTTATTCCCATCTTCATGAACGACAAATCGTGTGGATCTAGAAACATTTGTTCTTTATTTGCCAAAGTTGCATGGGGTTAACCAAATATTTCACCTGCCTGAAATATTCTATTCCCCCCATGAAACATGGGAACTAGTTCATTTGCCAGAATCATGGATGTTACATGTTGCATGTTACGTGATATGAATTTTATGGCATATTGCACATCCCTAGTGGGAATTAGTTTTAGATCTGGGATCCTAATATGTATCGCTCACAGTCGTCTTTAAATTGAACCGTGAAAAGATGAACCATAGCCCCATATTAAACTAATATTTTAAAAAATGTGTTACCATTTTTCATACCCATCTTTACCTAAAGTGTCAGTGAATGTGGAAGGCCAGATGCTTTCACACATCACATGGTTAGAATAGCCACTGGGTATTCGGGATGTGGAGGAAATATGGGACCGGCATGCAAGGAATGCAAAAATCTTTCTGATAAAGAGTTTCATGTTTCCAAGAAAAAGCCTATGTGTCATAGCTGACATGTTACTTAATCAATTTATGCTCTTAGAAAGATTTTCTTTTAAACATAAGTTATGCTTAGTAGTGTTATGTCAGTAGTTACCTTTTTTTTTTACACCTTCTAATAGAAGCACAAGTGGTCAACCTTTTATCAACATTTCTAACATTTTTCCTTTGCATAACAGGTTCTTAAATGGGTAGAGGAGGCTGTGCAGTCCTCAAAGGTCAACCTGCTTTCCACTGATCATTTCAGTCAGGTCAGCAACACCTGGCAGATGCCCTTTGATCCCAGTCTAAAAGAAGTTACGGTGGCTCTCAGTGGCCCAGCACCTGATATTGAGATAAAAACTCCTCAGGGTAAGATTTTCACTCTGCTGACATGGTGGCTGAATTCTGCTTTTGTTTTTATGAGCACTGTTAAAGATTAGATCTACAACACTTGTCTATTAGCCTTAGGAAAATAAATTATTTTAAAATTAACTTGAAATACACTAGAAGCCAGTAATTTAGCAAAATTCACCCTCATGCTTATGTCAGGTGTAAATTCAGCAGTAGGATTTTGTTCCCATTGTTTCCAGAAAATGTAAGAGTAATTCCAGAAAGAAGTCTGAAAGAGTAGTATAGACACAAGGGAAGAAAAGAAGTTCAAAGAGGAAAGTTTAATACAGGGGATACAGCTGCTGCTATTGGCTTTTGAAAAACATGATTTTCTGCTAGATCTCATGAAAATTCTCCTTTTGTCAGTCAGTCAGTCTGCAGGAATCTGGACAGAGCAGAGCAGTCAGCGAAACTCTTCAGTGGGAAATAAATCCCATAGTCATCTCCTTCATAACTGAATTACATATTGGGTTTCTGTCTTTGAAAGGAGACAAGAAGAGGCTCAGAGGTTCGGTTGAGCAGATAGTTTTTGCCAGTACCAGACATAAATAAGGTAGCCAAGAGTCTAGCTTAAGTTTGACGAAAGGAATGATCAAGTCAAGGCCTAATTTTTTTTTTTTTTTGCATAAGGGAAACTATATTATCTGAACTCCAGGGATTTTCACATGTTTTCTTTAAAAATTACATCAAGACACTTTTGCTTTTATGGCAAATTTCACTTAACAGTTTGATGGAAGAGATGACATTAGATTGCTAAAAGGAATAATTTTCAACAACTAAGGAATTAATCGCTAAAACTGAAGTCCTACACAGCTAAAGGTTTGAGTAACTCCCTGGAATTTCCACATCTGGGATACATATACTCTACACATGTTCTTTTACTTACAGTATTTGGACTAATGTTTACAACACATCATGGAATTTAAAATTTTCTTCTTTAATGTCACATTTTAATGTTTAACTTACTATCATGTGGTATAACGTTGTAAAACTTTATGCCATAAAAGTTGCTGAATAAGTAAATAATTGCATCTGTATATTTGTTTGACTTTCAGGAAAACTCTTGGGGAAGGCTGATGGCCTGACTGAGCTGTTGCACATTCCCAACTCGGCCAAAGTTGTCAACATCAAGGACCCGCAGCCAGGAATGTGGTCTGTCAAGGTAAACGCTTCACTCCTCACCTGAGCAGTTACTAAAAAAAATTTCTCGGCTTCTAGCAATTTTCAGAGCAGAGATAACCATTTAAAAAAATTAAGAGAAAAGCTTGATGTGTAATTAATTAATGTTCACGTTCCTTCCTTATTTCAAGGCAGTTAAATCATGATCAAAAGGTACATTATTAAATGTTCGGCAAAAATGATCATTTCCAAACTGACCTTCATTCTCCTACACTACTGGTCCATTTATTACCAAAATAAAGCAGCACTGATGGTCAGTTGTTTGTACAGATCTAGTACAGTTTTTTGTTTTGCCTTTTAAAAGTGGTTGGACAGTAATCAACAAGTCCTGTGTCGAGACACAGTGACTCATGGTGTCTTTTTTTTTAATGCATCCTACTGCTAGCTAAAACAGCTTTGCATTTAGACCTTCAGTTAATGTCTAAGATTGGTTGTAGAAGGGAAAAATACTGTTTACTTTTCAACCAGATATACTCAGTTTAGCATAGAAGTAAAAAAAAACAACCTTGAGACCTAACTACGAAGATTGTTTTTGTTTTTTTTAATCTAAAAATGTTTTCTGGGCTAACTTTTAAATACTTATACTGTCAAAGCCTTTGTTTCTTGAAGGATTTGCTGTTGGTAATGTGTTTTTTCTGTTAAAAAAAAAAAAAAAGGCACAACAAACCCTGAGTATATCCATGAAGTCTGAGTTGAATTCAATTCTGAGAAAATGGGAAATGAGCCGTTTTAATGACAGAGGACTCTTGCTTTGTTTTCTAAAATGATGACCTTTAAACGACCTTTGCCCTCATATACAATCACCTAAAAACTCTGTGGCTGCTATTACAGCAGGACTCATCACTACTTAACATACTTTGCTTCATAATGGCAGGACATATTGTTTATGCCAGGGCTGAATTGCCTTTTGTCTTTCCAATTTGAGCTTGTTAAAAGGATGCTGTGGCTAAGTAGATGTGAATTGTCTTCTAGTTAGAGGGTCTTAGGTTTTTTATTTATCTATGCATATGTTTTTTGGTTAGACATTAATAAACACCCAATGGACTAAATTGTCAAAGTTACTGAGTGTTAAGACCCCTAATGCTAACATTTAGGGGTCTTAGCTTAACTCAGACATCTTTTATTTTAATTGAAATAGGTACGTTTTTTTTCCTGCTCAGCATAAAACCAACAACTAAAATGCCACCTTAGGTGGAGGTGGTATTACAGAAAAGTGTTCTTTCAATAGTCAGTGTGAAAAAAATCTTTACAACAAGAATAGTTTATGCTTTTCTTTCATTTGATTTTAGCTTAAAAACTCTTTCCAGCTCTCCTTTAATCTATTCTAACTAATTTGGAGATATGCATAGGGTAGGGGGTCGCTGTCCGTTTAAAAGACCAATTTGTCTCCAAGCTTTAACTTCCCAGCTGATGTCTGTAAAGCATAATGATGCTTCATGTTGTTTAAGTCTTTTTGAATAAAGTAAGTGCGTATTAAAATAAAGTAAGTTTCTTCGTTCCTCAGTCATTCCTTTGCCTGTTGCCTCTCCACTGTTTTGTACGGTGTGATTATGTTGCGTTTGGTAATCATCGTAAAATACAGAGATTCCAAACATTCTCTTTCATTTGGAGCAATTGTGGAGTAAATGACAGTTCAGGAATTCATGCCTTCCTCTGCAGTGTGACACCGTCAACCAAGGTGAGGAGTTTCCATCTCTCCCAAACATGTACTTTAGAGTAATTATCCTATCTTTTATTTCTGCAAACTTAAAGAGACCTCCAACCCTTGAAGACCTCATTATTCACTCTGATTATAGTGATTGTGCTTATCTTATGTGTGAGCTTCAGTCCAAACCGGTCAACCCAAAGGTGTGGATGTTTTATAAGCTCAGGTGATACGAACAGGGACTTAGTCACTCTTGCAGCTTGTCTCTGCTTGTTTGGTTGCCAGTCGTCATCAGACCACTCAGTGTTGCTTTTGATCCAACAACTATTTCAATTAAACTGTTATGTTCATCAAAATACATTGCAAAAATCTGATTTTTGAATGCTTGTTCTGTTGTTTTCCTATCAGTTCAGTCAAGTTAAAAATGACCCGATGTTTTTCTGTTATGGTCGCAGACATCAAGTAAAGGGAGGCACTCAGTCCGGATCTCAGGTCTCAGCACCATCGACTTCCGTGCCGGGTTTTCCAGAAAACCTACAATGGATTTTAAAATGACAATCAGCAGACCAGTTCAAGGTGAGGAAAGCCAACCTTTCAAGGCTTTACTTGTTTATTTAGTTTTGTTTATTCACACCAGTGACCTCCACTTCCCAGGTATTCCCACTCACATCCTTCTGAACACCACTGGACTTTCCCCTCCTGCTCGGCCTGACCGGCTGGAGCTCCTCACAATTACTGGCGAAGTTATCAAAACTTTGCCAATCAGGTATTACCCAGAGCGACAGCCGTACAACCTCTGGAACATCACAGAGTTCATCCCTCCCAACGAGGCCTTCTTCCTGAGGCTTACGGGATATGACAGCCAGGGTTTTGTGTTCCAGAGAGTCTCCAGTGTCTCGTTCTCCAGCATTGTACCTGGTGAGCGATGTGCATTTTCACCCTCCTTTAGAAACAATGTTGTTTATTCCCTGTTAAATGCCTCTTCGTTACTTTGCTTTTCTTTCAGATGCACCTAAGGTGGTAATGCCAGCCACCACAAGTGGTTATTACCTCCGGAGAGGGTTTATCAGATGCCAGGTAGAGAGTTTGTTACCATTTACTCAGCGCTTCAGCAGAGATGGAAAGCGACTTGGAGTAGACCAACTCTTCAGGTGACATACTGTTAAATTAGAATATACTTTCAGGTGTTTGTCTGATTATAAGTATCTTTTTTAAGCCTTCTTTTCATGGAGTACACGTTTCTGTATAAAAATATGTTCTTATTGGTCTGATGCAATATTCTAATCTTAAATGTTGTGTTTTCTTTAACTGTAAGTGAATAATCATCAAAGAGAAAGAAAGACTTGAAAATGTCAGTGTACCAGGAATTAATCTAAATAATTTGTTTAATTCTGTGAATTCAGTTTCTGAAATGAATTAACTTTTCAAAATTCCTCTCATTTCTTGAGTATAGCTTTACTTTATCAAACTATTCACAGTTGATGATGTAAGCCTGAAGTTGAAGGTTTAACCACTGAAATTGTACGCACATGTAAAAGATGGGCATTTTAAATTTTTCTTTCAACCATCAAATAAAATCTAGTTTTGAAACATAGTTTTTGTTTGCAAAAAGTTTGGCTGTAAAGTACTAAAAATACAGAGTAGTACTCAGCTGAATGACAGTCCAGCTTTCAGATCCTGTGTTGACTTTTTCTTAAATAAATAACATTAAATACTTCTCATCCTTTTTTTGTTATATTTATTCGTGACTTTTAATTCCAGTGAATCAGATAGCGTGTCATGGGAAATCGAAAAGGTAACTCTGAAGGACGAAGGCCACTACGAATGCATCGCAATTAGCAGCGCTGGAACAGGACGAGCTCGTACCTTCCTGGATGTGTCAGGTAAGCCAACATCCCAAGACTCTCAGTAATACAGAAAATGTTTTACCTCTTTTCATATGACCATGTATAAATCTAAACGAATAAATATGAAACTTGGTGCATCAATGCATCTTTATGTCAGATCTTGTGAAGCTGATGGTAAGAATCTTGGTTATCTTGAATAACTTTTTCATAGTAAATTTACCAACTTTAGCAACAGATGGTTAACCATTTCACTTCTAAAAATATTTGTTGCAATATGTAACATACTCACACAAGACCCATTATTAAGGAAAAAAGCATATTATGCAAGTGGTGTTGCTTAAATGGCTTTTCAAAAGAGTTGAAATACTAACATGTTTAACTTACAAATAAATAGTTAGCTTTACAGAACAAAAATTACTGCATAGTCATTGCAGAACTTTTAGCCTCTACACATCAACCCAGAGTACACAGACTTGGGATGGCAGCCTTAAAGGGATGTAGAGATGAATGTCATCAACATAAAAGAAAATCTCAGAAAAAGCGTGAATGATGAGTACGAAAGTTAAACTGGATTCAGAACTGAACTTTGTGGAAACCCTACAGGTGAGAGAGGTCATGTTAGGGTCAAACATTTAAACTCTAAAAGAATAAAACCTGTCAGAGGATATGTTTTTTCCAAATTCAATATCCAAATAAAATAACTACAGCATTCACTTTTCTCTCTAGAACCGCCCCCTGCCATCACTGTTGAAGGGAATGTTACCGTCTCACCTGGCAGTCATGCTGTCCTCACCTGCCAAGTCGTCAGCACTGTTGCCTTCAACCTCACCTGGCTGCGAGGGGGATACGATGCTCGTCTGAACCCACGGGGGAACATCCTTGCCAACCTTTCACTGCAGGTGTCCAACGTGACCCCGGATGATTCGGGCTGGTATGAGTGCATTGCTGCTAATGAAGGAGGAAAGACCACAGATCGGACGTATCTCACAGTACAAGGTGATAAATATGTCCTGAATTCAACAAAAAAAAAGCCCTTTCAGGATTTCATCCTTTATCTCCACAACTGTGCAGTAGTTTGTTGTTATTGAGTCACAATTGTTTTTGTTCAACCACATTATTACATAATCTGTGGTCCTTAGTTCTTTACGTCATTTATTTCTCCTTGTGAAGCAGCTGTTGGCACGCCCCAGGTCCTTTCTAATTGCCCCTCATCAGTAATATCCTAGTGATTAACCTCGCTTTGAAGTAGGGCAGGTTGACTCACACCAGAAAGACCCAGAAGGGGTTTCTGCTCCAAGTAGGCTTACAGCCAAACTTTGTTTTGCTGAATTTGTAGCTATGTGTCTTATACAGTATGAAAAGACATGTAACTTTATTTTCTTATTATCTGCCAGTAAATTATGCTGAACATTTCCTGTTCTAGATTAATCAGAACTTTTAAACATTTTATATTTGCTAAATGCTCAAATAACGAATACATTTTATTACTTACTTCAAATTCTGAAGTTTTTACACCCTAAGAGTAATGTGTTATTGAACACTTTGGTAAAGCAAACAAGGTGATATCATTCCTTTGTATGTTATTTCACAACACTTTAGTTGTTGTAAGGCAACACCTCGAACACACTGCTTCCTTGTGTGGCATCATTAAAAAAATCAAAAGAAATCAGTCGAGCTCTCAGGAAGAAAATAAAAATTGTCAAGCCATTACACTGCTCATTAAGGACAGACTTTGACTAGGCCATTCAAACACAAACATTCCTGTTTGCTTTTATCTAAGCACTATTACTTTTGTGGTAGCTCTTGTAGTAATAGTGTTATTACTGGATCTGAGTTTTGGGTATTTTTCAATCTCTAATAGGATTTCTTCCGGTGTAATTTTGGTCTCATCTGACCGGAGCATTCCTTCCCACTATTTGCTTCCGTCCAATACTTAGATGATGAATTTGACAGTGCTACTGTGTTTCTTAGTCTTCAATGTGTGTGGACAGTATGGTTATTTCATTGCACCATCTGCTGAATGTCCTGCATATCTTTAAAAATGTGGCATCCTCTGTGACTGATGCTGAAGCAAAAATGTAAAATATTTTCCTTCACAACTAATGTATTTTGACAGGTTTGTTTTATTTTAACCATTTGAGCCCAAATATTTTTCCTTGAAGATTGCTCTAAAGAGAGAATAAAACCTGAAAAGATAATAACACAGAATCTAAAACATTATGCAGGGTCATTTTTCTGTTGAATTTGTCCTCAGCATGTTGGATTAACACATGTTAGAGCTGTGTGCATTGAGAATATTCCAATCATCACTCTTCTGCAAGAAACACTGGCGATAAAATTGCCAGTGAGAATATAATAGATAAAACACATCTTAGAAGGGAACGGTTTCCCATCATGAATCAATCTGAGGGTCTGTAGAGACAGCTCCAGATTCTCTGGATTCCACATTGTTTTCTGTTTTAGTATTAGAAAGACATGCTGTGAAATAATATTAGTGATCTTAGCAGTCATCCCTCCTCTTGCGACAGTGGCCATAAAATTTTAGGCTCTGCTCCATCATGTAACTGGAACTAAATTCACTGTGTAAGCGGATAACCCTTGTCCCTGCATGGAAATGTGTTTAAGACCTTCCCCTGATCTTCCCAAGAGCAGAGACCAACTCCAGTATTTCAATATGCAAGTTTTATTTTAGAATTTCACCTTGCGTCTCACGCTCTGACTGAATTGCTGAATAATTAAAACATTTGTTGTTTGTTTAGAGACACCCAGGGTGTCAGTGGAGCCTCGAAATCAGACCTTCATGATGGGAGATGAAGTGAGGATCAGGTGTTCAGCCACTGGCTATCCTCCACCACGTCTGGTTTGGACCCACAACGACATGTTTATTACAGGAAACAATAGGTAAATTAATTCATTTCACCATAACCCTAAAAATATTACTAATTTTACATTCCACAGATGTTTTTTGCACAAGAGGCAAGCATTGTGCTTGCCTCTCTTGTACTTGCAAACTCTCCTGGACTCATTACCAGCATTCTCTCACATGGTGACAGCGAAGAGTCTCCAAAAACAGTTTTTATGTTTAGTACATGAGAATTTAGTTTTCATAGTAACTTGCTGGAAAAATTTATATACTTTTTATATCTCTTCATTCTTTACTTTTAAAGGTATTTGTCGCACTGGCCTGTTGTATGTCAAAATGTTCAAATTTGTGGATTCAGGGGTGAGGGGTTAGACTGAAGCAATGACGTATAGCATAACTTGAACCAAAGACAGACAAATGTATATGCATGCTAACCAATTTTGCATGCCTTGTGTAGAAACAACATTACTCAATAGATTATAGTGTTTCGGTGCACAAAGTGTTAGCTTTATGAAAATGGTTCAATATACAAAGTTTAGCATATAAATCATAATTTTTCGTCCAAATAAAAACCTTTTAAGAATATTTTTTATGGAGTGACTAGATCGTTAGTATTGCCATTTTCCCTGGTATATTTGTAAAATCTATAATTTTGTATCATGTTTCTGATTTTTAGACACCGGATGACTCTTGATGGCACTCTGGTTATAAGAAACACAAAGAAGAAGGATGGAGGAGTGTATGGCTGTTTGGCCAGTAACCAGGCTGGTACTGACACGATGACCTCTATTCTCACCTATTTTGGTGAGTATTCAAATCATTAGCCTCTTTTGTGTTCCTGCTGTGTTAGTGTTTTGTCTGATTTTTTTTTTACACTTCATTGTTTCCTAGAATTTCCTGTGGTGTTAGCAGTCTTAAGAGAAATACTCAGTAACATTGGAGAAACCACGACGATGTCCTGTTCAGCATCCGGCATCCCTCAGCCTGAGATCTGGTGGTACAAAGGTAACAGTTTAAAAGCATAAAAATTTATTTAATGTTTACTGGACAAATGCATAGAAGAAATAAAGTCTTGAGGGAGACTTAAACTACTTAATTTACAGAAATAATGAAGAACATAGTCTGAATAAATGTATTGGGTCTTGCATTGTAAATTTCAAACTGACTTTTGAAAGCTGATACAAAATACTTGCTACATTTGCTGTGACTACTAGGTAATATTCAGCTCCATTCCTCGGATCTGTTGGAGGTGGACAAAATAGGAGGAACACTTACCATAAAGCAAACCCAGTTGGGTGATGCTGGAGACTACTCCTGTGTGGCCGTAAATCCTGCTGGTTCCTCCTCACTAAAGATCCGTCTTGATGTTGGAGGTATGAATTGGTGAATATTCTGAAATCGTCTTTTGACTTTTAAAGGAATCTTTTGTATTTTTATACATTACCACCAGAAATTGCCTGTACTTCATTTAATGTTTTGTTTTCTTTTTGTATTCTGCACCAAAAATGTATCTTACTTGTTCTTGTAATCATTGTCAGCATCCAGTCTAACTTCATGTAGAAAGTTAGCAGAAAATATGAATGGAAACTGCAGATTTTGCCTCTGTAGAGAGAATAACAAAATCTTTGAATGTACAAATCAAGGTTGAAATTTCAGTGGGGTAAATGGAAATTCCAGTCCAGAGTTTAATTTCTCAGTGGATTTGGATGCATAATGTCATAAAATAGCTTTGTGGCCAAATATAAGTCAATTGAGAAGCCAGCTGTTTTCTAAAAGAAGGTGTTGTTGACATATTTTCCCGTTCTCAGATATTTTACGCTAGTGGTTCCAAGAGTAGATGCCAGAATCTCATATGGCAATTCATTTACAATTTTGTCTGGAAATTAAATTACACTAAAGCAAAATTTTATAGTAGTGTAATAGCATCAATTGTGATGATTGGATGAAACCTGTATATCTGAGTATTTTTATTTGTTTTTCATTTGGGCTTTTAGTTGTTTTAGCAATTGTTTTAAATTTCAACTATAATTGGCATCTGATATCTCTACTGCTGCTATTTTGTGAGTTTGAAGTTAAACACTTTAGGAAACACTTCTTCAGTGAGTTGATGTTAATGAACTGAATGTGGTTGGGATTTTTTTAGCGTTTTGTTAGATCAATTCAACTGTTATCAAAGACTTTAATCATTGGAAAACTGATACACTTTTTCTATCCATTTAGAAGGAAAATGAAACTGAAGTTGAAAATGTTAACGAATAAAAACAAATTATTCTTGACTTTTAAACAAGTTTGCTATCAGTAGATGCTGAGCAACCTTATTTTAACCCTGTGTAACAATCATTTTACTGCGAGGTTCCTAGCGTTGAGTAGGTATCACCTCAAGGGGGCGCCTATTCCCTTTTCTTTTGTTGTAATCTTGTACCGAGTAAGAACTCGCTTCCTTGATATTTTAGAAAGGAGAAATATCGGTGATTCTGAGGTGCAGAGGGGTGCAACTTTTGTTATTTTTCT